ATATATATATAATAATATTATAATATTATTATTATTATTATTATTATTATTATTATTATTATTATTATTATTATTATTATTATTATTATTATTATTATTATTATTGTTGTTGTTGTTGTTGTTGTTGTTGTTATTATTATATTAGAAGAAGAAGAAAGAGAAATTGGGAGGAGAGAGAGTGTAGATATTAATGAGGAAAGAGAAATGAGAGGAGAGAATATAAATATTAATGAAGAGTGATGAATAGAAGGAGAGAGAAATGAGTTGGTAGAATAAATATATAGGTTAGTTAGTAGGTTTTTGTAGGTTTGAAAATTGAAAAAAGTATGAATAATGTATTTCCAATAAAAATTTGAGAAGAAAAAATGGGATTTTCTGAATAAAATTATCAAACAAACATGATCTCAGTTTTATAAATAGTATAAAACTGGAAATTAATTTTGGAAATAGAAACAAATATACCCCTAGTTTCCCCTAAAATAAGGATAAGAGTAAAAAGCACTTCGTCATCTGAAATGAGGGTTGTTTTGCGCTTTTTTGCCTCCTAAAAAAACAAAATTGAACGATTTTTAAATTTTAATTGAACTCGTTTTTTTAATAATATTTTAATTTCTAAACAATCAAATTAAAAAGAAAATATATATAAATATAGGGTTAATAGCATAGAAGCTCATGACAAGGGCACTTAATTAAAAAAAAGATATCCAACTTTTTTGTCTTGCAAATAATTTCAGCTCATTCAAACTTATTTTCAAATAAGAAAAACTTTTTTATATATACCAAAATTATCCCCAATTTTTTGAAACTCAATTCAACTTCAATGTCATGATTTACACCCCAATTTATTCCAATTTCGCCTGTTAACCAATTTTAATCCTTATTCCAATTCTGACCCCAATTTTGACCAGCCACCGTCAGAGACCACCGGTCAGCCATCGTTGACCGCCGGAAACCGTCGATCTCCGGCGTTGACTTTTTAGTTTTTTTAACAATTTTTCTTTGATTTTTTTTTTTCCGGCAGGTTAACCGCTGTTGACTGTTTTTTTCTTAAAAAACATTATTTTAATTAATATTACTGTTTTGGCTGCTAAATTAATGTTTCCAACGGTAATTTAACTGTCGGAGACAAAAATTTAACTGTTAATTTTTTTTTCTTTTTCTTTTTTCTTTTTTCTGAATTTTTTATTTCTTAAGAAAAAATATTTTAATTAATATTACTGCCTTGACTGCTAAATTACTAACTCCAATAGTAGTTTAACTATAGGAGACAACAATTTAACTATCTGAGACAATAATTTTACTGTATTAATTAATTTTATCGTCTTGGCCTGCAATTTTGTTGTCTTCGATCGTGATATTACTGTCTCATGCAATAATATTACTGTTTGGGATAGTAATATTAGTATACTGTTCAGGAAAGTAATATTCATAATATTACTGTCCCAAACAGTAATATTACTGACTGAGACAATAAATTTACTGCTTAGAACAGAAGTATTAGTAATATTACTTTTTTGGTATTCAATATTACTATTTTAGACAATAATTTTGTTGCTAACACAGTAAGACAAAAAAAAAAAAAGTCGCCGGAGACAGTAAAATTTAAATAATTTTTTTAAGTAAAAAAAGAAATTCAAAAAAGAAAAAGAAAAAGTCAACACTGGATACCAGCGGTTGACCGGCCGGAAAAAAATTCAGAAAAAAAAGAGTCAATGCCGGAAACTAACCGGAAAAAAATTAATAAAAATAATTATTTTCTGAACAAAAAATTATTTTTCCAAAAACTTATTAAAATCGGGGTTAATGTGATATATTTGTTTAAATCCAGGATTAATGGGTAATATTGAGGAACTTAGAGTATAATGGATTGAATTGATAAAATATATATTATGGAGGGTATTTTAGACAAAAGACATGGGGATGGGTTTATTTGGAAAACTATTTTTTGACCAATGTGTATTTAACTCCCTTGTCATGTTATATACATATAAATACATTTGGAGAGAAAATTTCATTATTTCACGTCCAAAAATATAAGGGTACTTTTTGCAGTTTACTCTTTTTTTAAACCTTCATCTTTCATTACTTAATTTCGTCTAGTCTGGTATATTAGTTTGTTAACAGCCGATAAATTTGAGTACAAAATATTACAACGAACACTTTCACGAAAACGAACCAACAGAAAGAAAGACGGAAGGAAATTAGTTTAAGGACAAAGTAATTAATGAGCAGTAAGACATTGTTTTATAAGTTAACAGATACTTTTTAATCTATGAAGCTTAGTAGGACTCGAAGACTGACTAATTTTCTCTCCATTTCAATGCAAATCGAGTAGAGATACGTTTCTTTTCCTCGTAGTCTGGCAAATCTGACAAACTTGTGGGATCCCATTCTCTTCGATTCCTGTCGTATATCTCCAAGCTTACTTCCTCCAAATCCTGCAGCCACAGTTGTCTTAATTCATCTTGGTTTCCACCTTCTCTCTGCATTAGATTCTTCAACGCAGACTCGGAGTTCGTGTAGTTGATATCACCGATGGTTCGTGGACGACAAATGCAAAACAACCCATTCGAAAGAGGTGAAAAGTAAGGTAAATCATCTCGTAATATCAACTTCTTCACCACAACTGCAGGTTCATTTTCATCTTTAATATGTTGTACCAGATCATGGTTTTCTTTAAATATGTCCTCAGCATTAATGCATAACGACTGCCAAATAGAGAGAGAAATTTCGGATCGGCTTAACGACTCGAGCAGTTTATGTAGCTGAAGTAACCACAAAGAAGGATCATCCGTAAGAATCAGAAATAAAGTTGAACTCCATTGTCTAGAAGTTGTTGCGAAAGAGATGGATGGGATAATCAATCCATGATATCCAAAAGTGTTTATGTTTGGGGCATCAATAAATACATGTGATTCTTCTATGGATTCATCGAGTCCGTCACAGTATAAAATAGCCAAGTTGTCGAGACTCGGGAATTTACAAGAAGAAAAGTGGTCAAACGAAGACAACATGACACGGTTCATAAATAAACAATTGAGACTATGAAACTCCGCACCTTGGGGAAAAGAAACAACCGCATACTCAATATTGATGGTTTCAAGAGACGCGGGATAAATTTCGATGCTACATATTTCGTCTGGCGAAGATGAAAAGGAAAATTTCTTGAGACGAAGAAGATTGTTCACCTCGATGTTTCTTAATCTCATGCATGATTCGAGAGACAGAGTTTCAATCAAAGGACAGCTTGAGATTATCTTCTGAAAAATCCCGTCCTCAATTTTGACCTTTTCGAGACAAAGTTTTTTCAGATGCTTAGAGAGAATATTCATTTCAATAGTGGTTCGGTCCAACATGAATCCTTCGACATGTAAATATTGGAGAGGTTCTGCCTCAAAGACTACAGAGGGCAGTCTAACATGTCTCTGCCTCCGACGACTATCTTTCGAATAAATAGAAAGACCAAACTCCTTCACTCCAATATTTGTTAGTCCTCGGATCCACTTTTTGAGAAACCATACGGATTTAAGTTCCGAATGCGAATAGTATAGAGACATAGAAAGTTGAAATTTCTCTAAGCAAATCCTTTGATCACAGTATCGTTGTAAAGTCTTGTCAACGGTGGATAGAAATTCTTGCTTGAAGTTTGTGTCTGAAAAATCTAGATTGGGTCGAGTGCACCAAATTTCACGCCATGGATTGGACAAGACAGATGTTCGAACAGCATCTTCTTGGGAGAGGAAATATAGTATTCTCTGCAATATGTCGTCTGACAACTCGGATATTCTGTCCATGTTTTAACGGCGTTGCAGATTACACTTTTCTCTCAGGGTTTGCATTATGAGCTTCTTTTTATATATTCCATAAGCTTGTTGGACGGTTCTAATTTGACTAGGACTAATTTATTTTGACTAGGAGTAATTTCTATTGCTTACAACTCTACACAAGGTAGAGAATCCAATGATTTTTTAGCCAAAAAAAAAAAAAAAAAAAGGAATCCAATGATTTCTTTTTCAGAAAACGTGATTTACTTGTTTTGTGATTCTTACCTATTAGGGATAGATCCCACTTTGTTTTATGATTCTTACCAAATGTGTTATTTCTCGGAAGCCAAAAACCCACCCGGATAAAAAACAAATTAGCACATGGATCCCTATGTTTTGTTTAATGAGGCATACCGGCCCGTTTTTCAATGTTAGTTGTTGACTTACGTGGAATGACTAAATTATCCATAACGAATTTTTGATATTATTTCATTTATAAAAAAACAAAATAAAAAAACTATAAAAGAAAAAGTAAAAAAAAAAAAAAAAACCTATCTTCTTCGAGTTACTGTAATCTATACTACTTATAAAAGTACCAATGTGATAAGTGATCTCTTCCCTTTTTTGATTGTACAAAAATACCCCCTTCAGAGACAATATGTGAAGGACAATATGGTAATATTTTATTATAACAAATTATCTATACTAATAAAAGTACCAATGTGATAAGTGATTTCTTCCCTTTTTTGATTGTACAAAAATACCCCCTTCAGAGACAATATGTGAAGGACAGTATGGTAATATTTTATTATAACAAATTAATCCGCCCAATTTTGCTGTTGTTTCTTGAAAGTTTGTATAACATGATTATTTAATTCATAAATTATTTTTTACGATTAATGTATGGGAAGATGAATGTTCATTGACATTTAGTTAGCATCAATTTCATTGATAATGGTATTTGTATGGTTTAGTCATTAATATGTACATTGGTAATATCCTAACCAATTGTAATATAAATCATAAAAAAAAAGGCAAAATAACATATATTTATTCCCAACACTCTACGTTGTTGAAAAAATCAAGACATATAAGTTTATGTGGCGGAAATCACCCAATGTCCGTAGCCGGTGGTGTAGATAATCAGATAGCGGAAACCGATAATTTCACAATTTCTAACATTTTCAACTCCTTCCCTTTGTTGGCTTATGTCAAAATGGACAACTATATGCATAGTCACGGCCTGACGGAGAAGATTTGATTATTGTCAATAATATATATATAATCCATTTATTTATTTGTTATTTTTTCTCTATAGGATTTTTTTATTGTTTAATTTAGGATTACTTCTATTTGTTATTATTCCTTTGGGTAATTATGAGATCAAATTATTGATATGTAGGAATGTATACCAACTTTTAGGCAAATTGATTCAACTACTATAGAGATGGTTCCGCAATAAAACATTTATATGGTCATGAAGTATTTTTTTGTGATCAGGTACTCTTTTATTTTACAATTTTATTTCCTCAATATATTTGACCAGTTTTGGTTGTATACAATTTGTTTCAGTTATTGTTGATTAATTTATTTAATTTTGATAATGTTAGTTAATATTAGTAATTAATTAGGATATTAATTATTAATAACTATAATAATTGCTATTATAAGATTTATTGAACAAATATTATTTAGCGTTTGATTGATACTTCATCAATTTTCTAATAATAATTATATTAAAGATTTATTGAACAATGAAATCATTCAACTTTGTATTCGATCAGTTAGATTCAAATACATTCTAATATTAGTTGACTAATACTAGTCATCAGTGGAAATGAGAATGGGCACAATCCGGATATCGATTTTTTCATTCAGCACCATAGTTAAGAAGGGTAAACAACATATATAAAACCCTCATTTGTTATAAAAAAATCTCCACCAAACTCAGTGCACAACAGTTAAGAAGGGTAAAAAAAACATAAAATCCTTCTGTGTTATGGAAAAACTACACCAAACTTAGTGTTAATTTTACTGCGTAGAATCCCCCTGTAATTTTATTTTATCTTGCATAAAATGGCCTATTTCGTTAACTTTTAGCACCGTTAACTATTTGGAGATTTTATGCAACTTTTTAGTAACACAAGAGATTTTGATGTATGTTTTCTACACTATAAAGAGGACTTATGCAAAAATAATTTGTTTATTTAAAATTCGAATTATTTTTACAAATTAAGGCAATTATTCAATTGCAGTATATAAATTAAAGACTAATGGTCCGGGCAAATTTTTAAACGATTTCTTTCTTTTTTTTTTTCTTTTGTCATTTCCAATTCAAAATATTAAATTTTAGAACAGTTTTTTTTCTTATTTTGATTTTACAAAATTTGATTCTATTTTCTTTTTTCATAAAAAAAAATTGCATCAAAACTGAATGTAAATAAAACTTTGATTTTTTTTTTGGATAAAGTTTTGTATTATAAAAAAAATTCAAAACTATAGGTATTGATAGTATATAAATTTTAATAAATAAAAAATGTTAATATTTATAAGTAAGTAAATTAGTTCTTTGTCTAATGCCCCTTGTATAGTAGAAGTGGTCATTCAACATGGTATCAGAGCCAGAACCAATAAAAAGGTCATGAGTTCGAATCACACCGCCACCATTTCAAATATTTCAAGTGTCTTCAAATGTAATTCGTCTGCACTTCACACCGCCACCATTTCAAATATTTCAAGTGTCTTCAAATGTAATTCGTCTGCACTTGAGGGGTCATATTGGAGATGTTAATATTAAATGATAAATTTCACTAACAATTTAAGTTTTGGTTGAGATTATATTGTCCCCCTCAATAGTTAACGGTGTTAAAAGTTAACGGAATTGGAAATTTCATGCAACTTAAAATAAAACATAGGAGGATTCTACCCAATAAAATTAACACAAAGGGGTTTAATTTGGTTCCATAACACGGGTATATTTTATGTTGTTTATCCCTGTTAAAAAGTTTAGTTCAACCTTTGCCTATATGGACACTCAATTTTTGTCTCTCTGTTTATCCAATTTCAACGGCGGCTGACCGACTGGGAAAACAATTTTAGAAAAGAAAAAAAAATCAACGCCGTAATTTGACCGGAAAAAAAAATTCAGAAAAAAATTTATTTTCTACAAAAAAATATTTTTTTAAAAAAATTGTGAAAATGGTGGTTAATGTGATATATTTGTTCAAATCTTGGGCCAATGTGAAATATTGATGAAGTTAGAGTATAATGGATGGAATTGATGAAACTTATATTATGAAGCGTATTTTAGACAAAAGGCATGGGGATGGTTTTTTTGTGAAACTATTTTTTGTCTGGACTTATATGCATTTAAGTCTAACCCTATGGGCCTATTTGTCATATGTTCATATTCATTATTCCCCTTATCTCCTTGGTCCTCAAGTGAATCTTCTCCTTTTTACTAACTTATAAAATTTAATACAAGTTTTTAAAAAGTTAAAACATAGCATGTTCTAAGAAAAAATGTTCGGAGGAGTTCAGGCAATGGTATGAGCTTTCCAGTAATTTTTTACCGTAGCATGAAATTCAGTCACAATCTCATTATGTAGAAAGCAAAAAATTGCAAGTTTTAACTTGATCATAGAATTTTTCTTGAAACTTTTAGAGAAAAACTAGATAATACTAATTTTTTATTTTTAATACAATTTTAGGTTACTATAGGAATGCAATACATAAAATCAAAATTAACAAAATACTTAACTAGACACGTGCAACGCACGTGCATCTTGCTAGTGACTAAAAAAACCTCCATGTTAACACAATTAGCAATTAACCCCCTATGTCGCATTTTATTTAGTTCACTGCCCTCTAGTGGAAATAAATATGTTGACTAAATGGAAGTGACTACACTACCCTTCCTTCAACCACCCGCGTCCTCCGCTCTTCTCTTCCCCTCCACCGCCAACTTTTCCTTGCCAGTACCACACCAGTCGATTATTCTTTTGCAAATTCTAGAATTTTAGCAAGCCTAGCAAAATTACTAAACTCGAGTTAAAGCTCTAATCGCCACCAAAGCTAAAGCCCTAATCGCCGTCATTATCGGAGAGGAGGATAAAAAGCAGAAAAACAACGGGGAAGTTGGATCCGGAGGCATCAGGTACCTTGCATAATGGTGGGCTACTACCGGGAGACGCCAGAGCAGACGCCAAAAAAATGAAAAAAATAGTTTTTTCATGAATTTTTTTTCTCTAAAATTCTCAGTTTTCGATTGGGGCAGATATTTTATTGGATTTTCACGGGTTGTTGATGGATTTTGCAGAAGAATAATGAGTTAAAATCTTAGCTCCAAACCGAACCGAAATTCGATGGAGAAAATGTTGAAGTGGTGAGGCGAAGCGGAGGCTGAGGATATGGAGGGAGGTGGCCGGGGAGAGTGTTCGCCGGAAGGAGAGCGGCGGTCGGCTATGTCCAGTGTATTTTTGAAAAATTGCAAACCAGTCCCTGACTTAAGGAAGAAGATTACCTTCTTACCCTTCTCCGTCTGGAATTTATTCTTCTGATTGAACTTCATGTTCTTGAATTCCTTCTTTCCAGTTTTTCCTTTTATGAATAATCCTTCACCTTGTACCAGAAGACTGTCCATCGAGGTTTCTTTGCAATTCTTTTGCTCTAATTGCAGATTTCACTTCTTCAAGGAAATAGATTGCTTTCTTCCATACACCATGGCATCCTTAGTTCTCAAAACTTTTAAGAATTTCCGCTAACCACGTCACAAGAAAAATTTATCCTCATCGGTTTTAATCATCTTCTCAGTCGAAGATGTTTATTTTAGTCATAATTCTTCAACTAAGCTGTCTATTTTCAATCTAGGCTTCTATTATTAGTTTAACATCTCCAATTAATATATCGATTTTTAGATTATTTTCAGTCTAAGTTGTCCAACTAAAATGTCCGAAGGATTTTTAGCAAAATTCAAAATATTCGGGCTGACTATTAGCTATACAAAATATTTTTGAAGGAGTTTTAGCCAT